ACACACACACACACACACACACACACACACACACACACACTGCCAATCTCCATCCCCCTCGAGTCCTCCCCTAGGACTGGGTGGACCCTGCCTGGGTAATCGTTCCCTGCCGTATTTAAAAACCACAGATGTGTTTGGAGGGGACTTAATTTCGGGATTGCAGGCAGCGTCTCCTGAGAACAAGGGGGAAAGCCGGCGCTGAGCTCCTGCCTGCCGCCAGGAGCTTCCAACTCTGGGAAATCCAGGTCAGGACGCGTCGCTTCCTTGCAGCTGCCCGCTGCCGCCAAGGTGCTCCAGACGCCGGGCTCAAGGCTCCGGTGGTTGGACTCCGGGTAGGGCTTGCGTCCGCATTGGATCTTCCGCACGCGAGGTTGGCGCTCGGTGTCCCGGAGCCGCCGAGGAGCGCTGTGGAAAGCTCCCCTCCGCGCCGGAGGAGGCTAAATATGCGCGGCTTGTCATTCGGGGTGGCTGCCTCCCAGCTGATAGGGTGACGTCGGGTTCGGAGGCTTGGAGATTGGCGCTTTGATTTGGCCCCTTGCGGAAGGCTTAATGGGTAAAGCTCCAGGCTCGCCCAGAAACCGGCCCCTACCCACCCCCCGTCCTCCCCGCGCGCGCGCGGCGAGGCCGAGACGTCTCCCGCGGTGACGGCGGCGGCCGAGGCTGAGCCGCGCGCTCCCAGCCCCGGGGAAGCCCCCGCCGGAGTCCCCTCCGAGCCGCCAGGGCGCGCCGCGCCGCTCGCCCTCCGGGCCGCCACTCCCGCAGGGCTCCCCAGCCGACGGAGGCCCGGACTCCGGGCCTTGCCTGGGCCGCTTCGACAGCCGCCCCCCTCCTTGGCTGGGCGCCGAGGGTCAGCACAACGCTCCCTGAGCCCCCGGCCGGCCCCGGCGCCGGAGCTCCGGATGCGCCTCCCGGCTGTCGCCTGACCGCTCGCTGGCCCCAGAGCTCCCGGCGGGCGGCCGCGGCGGACTGGCATGCCCCGGACGCCGCTTGCAGCTCGCCCGCAGCCCGCGGGGGAGATGAGCCCCTGCGGCCCGTAAGGAGGCGAGCGGCGCGGGCACCGCGCACCTTCCTAAGCCCGCCTTGCTTGCCCCTCGGGCTCCGGAGGCTGAGGGGGAATCGGTGAGTAATGGGATGAGCCCACGGTTCCCCACCCCACCCCCGGTAGGCGGCAGGAGCAAGGGATGCCGAAATCCCTCTTGGGTCCCTGATGGAGACCCGGAATCCCCAAGAGGGTCCCTGATGGAGAAGAATCATGATAAGTTTATTTCTCAAGATCATTCGCGTGCACTGCCTTGCGGCGGGTTTGGTGCCAGAAAAAGTGGGGGAGGGCGCCCGGGGAAAGTATACGTTGTGGATGCGGCGTTGGAGGGAGGATCTGGCAGAGTGTCTACTTGAGGGTGCTGGGGGTGCTTCAAGAGACGTCTGTGAGCTATGGCACAGTGCTGCCGTGTGTGTGTGTGTGTGTGTGTGTGTGTGTGTGTGTGTGTGTGTGTGTCTTGCCGGTGCCAGGGTGTGTGAGCTCCTGGGGCTGAGTGCCCACCGGGTTCTGGGGCTAGGAGGGGGACCCTTGGCACGCGCGCGCGCGCGCACACACACACACACATAAACAGGCACACACACACAAGCACACACACACACAGGCACACACACGCACACACGCACACACGCACCCCAACCTTGGGACTCCATTGCCACCAACCCACAAATGCAGCGCACCCCTCTTCCCTCCAGCCCCGGTGGACTCCAGGCAAGAAGGAGCAACTGTTAAGTCCTGAGCTTCAAGACCAGGTGTTCTGGGAGATCTAGAGCCCTGTGAAGAGAAGAGAAAGTACATACCCAAGCCCCCCCCCCCTTCCTCAAAACACACACATACACAGGCATGCGTGCGCACACACACACACACACACACACACACACACACTCACACAATTAAAGGCCAGCTCTGTTTCTGCAGGCCCTGGCTGACCTGCCCTGAGGACCTGAGCCACTGGGGCAGAGGATGAAAATGATTTGCTAGAGGGGTTTGCGGGGGGGGGGGGGGGGCGCAGTTTTTCCTTTTCATTCGTTGTGTTTTATTTTTAACCATGGAGAAGGGGGTGGGGGGGCTAGATAGAACAAACGCCTCTAATGCAGTGCTGTAAATTTCCTCACTCACTGCCTGTCTCCTCTCCTCTCCCTGTTTCTCTTTTGGCAGTTTAAAAAAAAAAAAAAAAAAAACAGACATCTGAACGTTCTGGTGCTAAAGGTTTCCCAGGCAGAAAGACTGAAATTAGGTGCAATTTATCAGAAACGCAGGCTGCAGCTGGGCACCAGGTGCCCAGCTCCTGGGTGGTCAAGAAACCCCCACAGGGGGAGGGCTGTGGGTACGCGATAGGAACACATCCGGTCTTCTGGTGGGGTACCAAAAGGGGAGCCTGCAGGCCTCTAGCGACCTGATGACTTGCAGCAGCCCCTGTGATTAATCTTCCACAGCTGTTGTGCCCGGTCCGCTGGAGCTGAGCTCTTGTTTACCTCGGTTTTCAAATATAGCTGCTGCGCCATGCTCTCCCTGAAATCGGGGACCAGTTCACTGAGTATGGGTCAGTGACCTCCCGCTGGCCTTTTGACCCACCTTCCTGCGCCCTGGCTGCCTCTGGCTGGCTCATCCAACTTAAGAGAGGAAGCTTCCCCTAAATTCAGGCCTTACAGTGTTGCAAAAGAGGATGCTTTCATTGACTGGATCGGGACTGGTTACCCTGGGCTGGCCTGGCACTGCGATCTACTATTTTCAACACAGTCCTTCACGAAGGTCTCTTTCTTTAAATAAATGAACTCTGCGTGTGTGTGTGTGTGTGTGTGTGTGTGTGTGTGTGTGTGTGTGCGCGCGCGCGCGCGCGCGCCACGCGCACGCGCACAGGAGAATGCGTGCATGTTTAAGGAGCCTCGGTGCAGCCAGCATAGCTGGGACTTGAATGCAGAGGTTCCTTCTTAACTTGAAGGCCATGGTGCAAGTCCCTCTACATGGAATGCTTTTCTTCTTCCACACTCCAGCTCTCCACATCCTTTACCCGAGAAAGCTTTCCATTCCTTCTCTGACTTCCTACACTCATAATCTGAACCCATCGCTTTGAAGTGATCTAAGACGAGACTGAATTTTACTGAGTGATGCTGGGCACAACTCCAGACAGTGGGCTCTGAGAAGGGATGGAAGATGGCTTGCCTTTATCCGCAAACAGTATCCCCAGGGCCTATGCCTGTGTCTGGCATAGAGCAGGCACTTGGTAATTGTTGGGTTAAACTAATGGAATCAGATTGTTACAATTGCTCCTTAGGTGTGTTCTGCTCCTGATCAGAGAAGGGAGAGAAGTTTTCCCACCAACTTCCTTTTGCTGCTGTTTGCTTTGTTCTGTTCATAATATCAAGCCAGGCCTGGTAGCACAGGTCTGTAAACTCCCCTGCAGGGTTACAAATTTAAGGCCTGCCTGGTAATTAGTGGGATCCCAAACAACAACAACAAGAAAAGATTGGTTTGGGAGGGGGGCACACAAGAAAAGCTTGTAGCTCAGTGGAAGGCCCTCGACCAGGATGTTAACTTAATATGTAGGACTACAAAAATGAAATTCCTTTACTCTGGGTCCTTCCATGAGCTGACACCCCGGTTCACTCTCCCCACCCCACCCCTCCTCTTTTCCTGTGCAAAACAGGTTTTTGTTGTTGGTGTTGCTTTGTTTCTTGTGTAATCTCTGGTCACTGTGATGGGTTTTGTTCACAGGCAATGGTGTGCCATTTTTTCCCACCCAGCATGGTCCAGCCATTGCCCACAATCAGGATTTGAGAGATGTCACCATCCTGATTTCCCTCCACACTACTAAGTTTGATAAGTAGAGAGGAGGAATCCTCCTCACTCAAATCCAGTTGCTTTGCCTATAGGTTCAAGTATTTTCTCCAAAAGAGAAAGCCTTCACTTGTTCTCTCGGGGAGACATTTATTGAACAAGCATTCCACAAGCACCTACTCTGCCAGACATGAGCCAAACTGAATGGTTCTTTTTCACATAGACACACTTTCAAGGACAACCAAACAGTGAATAGGCCATTACTGTATAAAGTGATTTCTGCCACATGAAGGGCAATGGCAGATCAGTGGAAGTAAATAAAAATGATCACCTTTCCTCAGGGCCTTGAGAGCTGACTCTTGGGACAGCTAAGCCCAGAAAGGAAGGGTAGGTCAGGTTAGCTTCGGTCGAAGTAGCAAGGAGAGAGAGGAGAGTGAAAGACACTGCTGAGTGAAAGAATCACTGTTTAAAAGGCCAGAAGTGGAGAGGATTCCCCCCCCCAAATGCTTGTACACAGAGATACAGGAGGATGTGGCTAAAGAAGTTGCAGGTCAAACCATGAAGGGCTTGTACTCTGTGCTAAGGATTCATGTGGAATTTTCCAGTGAGGCATGAGGAAGGTTTTAACTCCAGAAGTGAAGGGTTGGCATTTTATTCAACATGAAGAAAGTGGCTGAACCGGAATGTAGGGCCAGTGGGAAGTTTCTGTAGACCTCAGAGTGTGCTGATGGAGGGAGGGGTTCCTCTATAGAATGTTCTTATACTTTTGGTTGTGAGCAGAGCCCTTAATGGCTGAGCCATCTCCCCAGACTTAGAATATTCTTTTAAGGAAGATGGTCCACTAATTTTCTTTAATGCAGCTGGCTAATGTTTGATTGTTCATGTGTCTTGAATAGACATTCTAAACTCAGCCCTAGACAGAGAAGCCTTAGAAGGAAGGAGAAAAGGCTCTAGATGTATAAGATATACTTCCTTAGCACAGAGCAAGGCAAACCCTGAAAGATGAAGGATAGAGAAGGAGTCTGGGAGAAGGATTTACATTTGTTATTAGTCCGTTGGGCAAGACTTCTAGATTGAAAAACTCAACATGTGTATGAAAATAGACTTCTTTAAAGAACTATATGGGAAATGGATAAATCTAATTGTAGGAGCCCAGATACTTGGTTATTGTAGACACAGTCACACCGCCTAGGCAAACTGCTTCATTTCATCCTAGATGTTGTATGGAACAGGCCAAGGAGCATGAACTGTCTTGATACTTGGACTGACAAGTAAGGTGGCCCTGGATGTTGAGGGCTGGATCTGGAAGTAGGACTAGAAGCTAATCCTACTCCAGCTTCCGGGTGGCACTTTAGAAACGCCTTGAGAGGAGAAGGCCTCAGCATCCAGTGGAAAGGGGAAGAGTGTGTGATGCCATTGATAATCCTCCTCAGTGTCCTGTCCACTCCAGTTGGCCCCTCTTCCTATCCTGTCTCTACTGTCAGGACCAAGAAACATCCCCTCCCCCCCCCTTTTCCTGAATGGCAGTAACTCTCTTCATAAACTGGACTTCTCTTGTCCGAAATATCTTGCTCCTTAACACGGAATCCTCTCTCTCTAGAAATTCTACTCTAAAAAGAGCATCGCTTATTCCCTTTCCCCTTTCCTACCACCCTCTCGTCTTATTTTTATTAAACAATTGGAATGATAGTCATTATTCTATTTCCTCATCCCTCAATTGCTTATCCTTTTCCATTTTTCTCCATATTCTACTGCAGCACCACTCAATCTTCAAATTATAGTGAGTACTCACTCTCTCACTCCATACTCACCTCCATCAGAGAACCCTGGCCAGTAGCCTCTTAGGACTCCCCTGGATGGACTTCTGGTAAACTGAGCTCTCCTACTGCCCCTCATTCACTTCTGCTCAAACAATCAGTCTCCTTCCCAGATTCCCCTTTCTGCAGCATTTCTTGGCAATCTGCCCTGGTGAGCAGGATGTTCCTACAGCATGTGCCTCTAGATCCCCTTGCGTATGCCTTATTTCCAGCCACTTGTGCATTGCCTGCAACAGCATGTCCATCAGTTTCGGGATTTGAACATACTCAATGAACCTTAGCTGATCCTCCTCAGTGGGCAGTCCCTAGTTTCTACTGTAATACTTAAGGGCTTTCTCAGTATGACTGGCAGTGCTCTAGGGCCCCAAATGCTTCAACCATTCTGTTTCAACCTCAACACTTCCTTCTCCTGAGGGAGGGGGATGTGTTACAGACTATGTAAACCATTAAGAATCCAGTATAAATGCTGTGTCCTGGGGCCTTCCAGA